AAAGTGTCAAAGACGTAATAAGTTTAATAACTAAATAAGACACAGATTGTCTCTAAAAGAAAGGAAGCAGGTCTTGCCTTCACTTATTTTTAGCTTGCTAATTTCAATTGATTACACAAATTTCTGAAAGGAAATTGCTTTTATTGCTTTATTGTTTTGCTGCTGTTTTTAATGCTGTGTTATGGAGCTGGTTTAGGAGGCTTGCTTTTTATATTTGCCTTAATTGATTTGGATTCCATGTTATTTGGAATGCAGACTATCAGTCTGTCAGTTTGTATGTACAAATGTGTACAAAAGTGTGTACAAATAGAAAGAAAGGACTGTAGCTTCTTGATTTGTTATAATATCCTATGAACTATGTCAAGATAAAACTTTGTTACACAATTTTGCTACTTTAAACTACATATTCATTTTATTTGAATAAAAGTCAGTAATATACTTCCAGCAGGGCTAACAATTGGATTTTTAGTTTCCACTATGCTGAGAAAGCAGATTCTGTATCCAAGAAAAAGGATCACTTTGATCCATGACTGAATTGTGCTTTCTGCTGTGGGCATGGGAACACAGTAAATTAGGTTTTTAAAAAATTGCTTGTGAATAAAGCCTGGCTAAAGATTTAATCTTCTATTGTTCTGCATAGATATGTAGCTTTAAAATCAGTTTGCAGTCCATCTATAAGTGATGATTGGGAAAGGAAACTAAAAGGGCTCCCAATGCGATTTCTTAAATTAAAAAAGCAGCATAATTATATATAGTTAATTAGGAAAACTGCTACCATTCTATTGTAGATTCTTTTCTTGTTAATTGAACAAAAGTTATTATTTACTCATTATCTAGTCTTGCTGAGTAAACCTACTTTCATATAAATTTTGATCATACCTTGGTTGCCCGCAGAGCAACCTTCTCTAATCATGTAAGTACCATGGCTTAGGGCCAGGGTACTTACAGGACCGCCTTCTGCCACAAATAGCCTCCCACCGGCCAGTTCGCTCCCACAGAGAGGGCCTCCTCAGGGTGCCGTTGCCAGACAATGCCGGCTGGCGACCCCCAGGAGGAGAGCCTTCTCTGTGGTGGCACCTACCCTTTGGAACAATCTACCCCCAGAGATACGAGTGATCTCCGACCTCCGGACCTTTCGTCGGGCCCTAAAAACTCATCTCTTTCAGTTAGCCAGTCTCTCTTGATTTTATGATTTTATGGTTGGTTTTAAATTTTGATATGGATTTTAAATTGATAAATTTTAAACTATGGGCCAAATTTAATTATTTTAAATCTATTTTTAATCGTACTTATGTATAAATGTTTTTTATTTTGGCTGTCCACCGCCCTGAGTCCGAAAGGAGAAGGGCGGTATAGAAATTCGAATAATAAATAAATAAATAAATAAATAATCTAATAGTGCATTCAGACTGCATTGAATTACAGTTCCATTGTCTCTGTTGGAAGGGGATTTGAGAGTTGCAGTTCAACAGACACAGAGTCAAAGAATTGAGAAAAGTTAGCTTAGAAGATAGATGATTACGCCATCTAGAAAGAAGTGCATTGTTCAAAAGCACAAAGAAACTGGACTATAAAAAAGTCTAGATGATCTGTGCACGATCATTACCTAGAGATCCTGAAATGGTTCTCTTTTTTGTAAATAGATGATTGCAGCAAGAACAATTTAACATAAATAATTTTTTTTGATATTCTTAAAAGGGAATACTTCTTCATTTTGAAACACAGTAAAATACTCAGATCCAAGGGCAAAAAATTTGATCCAGAAAATTCAACTCTATTGAAATAGTAATAGTGCCTCATTATAAAATACCTTAGTCAAAACTGTGCAACTTTTTTGATTGGCAACTTCACTTTATTTTTCAGCCTCCCAAGTTTACAAAACTAATACATAAAGTGCTAAATTTATGTATCAGTTAAATTTCTGGGGTGGGGGTTTACATTGTAATAATTTTAATTAATTTTAATTGGATTTTAATTTATATTTAATTCATATTGTTGAATTTTTATCTTGTAAACCGCCCTGAGTCCTTCAGGAGAAGGGCAGCATATACATTGCAATAAAATAAATAAATGAAAATAAATGAAAAAGAGCTTAATTTAATATTCATTACATAAATGGAATGCATGTTCTGATTTATTTTTCTCTGCAGCAGCCCAATGAAATACTGAACATTTGCAAAAAGTATGTTGTTATGTTATTCTCAACCTTTACCTAAGGCAGGAGTCACCAACCCCTGGTCCATGGACAGGCACTGATCTATGGCATTCCAGAAACTGGGCTGCATAAACAAGCAAAGATCCATCTGCAGGATGCAGGCAGCATATGAAACCAGTATGGTCCACAGCTCTCCATAGAATCAGTCCATGGTGCCCCAAAGGTTGAGGGCTGCTGATCTAAGACATTTATCTCATTTTCCCTTAAATCAAAATTCAATTCTGTATTCATTAGTTCTGCTAATGGAAGAATTCTTTAAAAAACACACAAAGCTGTAAAGAGATAAAAATCACACAAAGGAATGAAGAGAGATAGCAGTGCTTGGCTCAATGAAACTGCAATGCCCTACGTGTGCGTGCACGTGTGTATGTTATGTGTAAGAGAGACACACAATAACAAATAGTATATCTCTTCCAATCCCTTTCCTCAACATAAAACACTAAAGCCTATTGTTTCAGTCTTTTTGTTAGATTTTAATCAACTACTTAGCTTCAAAGGACCGCAAAAATATTTGCCATCACAAATACATGAACATTTGATGCCAGAAGGGCTGGTGGTAGATTTACCAGAATAGATTACATGGTTATTGTACAAAAATCCTGGAACTAGACTGATTGTATCATCCATCTTTCTTTCAATTTGAGATTTAGAATTTAAAATTTAGAATCTCAAAATAATAAATTAACCAAATCCAGACAGATTTTGAAAGTACATACAGTTCTATTCTGACTTTTGATTAAAGTGCTAGTAGATCAAGGAAAGTGGCATAAGGTGAGAAAATAAATTGCAGTCACGTACACATTTAGATTCATAACTCCCTTTTTCCGACCCTGTAATCCCTTAATTCAGGGTAGAATCAGGGTGACTGAGCAGAGTTGAGTGCTTACTGGCCAGAAGCCCATCTTGTTACCATGCAGAGTTTGAAGAATATTTTTTCTTTGCACCCTAAGAAAAAACATCTACTGCTACCTAGGATTGAACTCTCAACCAGGTCAGCATCTTCACCACTAGGCCACCACACCAGTTATTTAATTAGATCTTTATTGTGGTAGATACCATATTTTTGGAGTATAAGACACACCTACCTTTTTTGATGAGGAAAAGAAGAAAAAGAAATCTCCCTCTGCCTCTGAGCAATTTTGCTTCATTGCAGCAAACAGCCTGCTTTACTTTCATTTTCGTTTTCAGCATAGCTTGATTAGCACAAGGAAAAAAAAATATGCTCCAGCAATTTACCTCTTTGCAGCAAGCAGCAGAGCCCTGCGCAAAACAGCTGAGAGCAAATCAGCTGAGAGTTGGGTGGCCGATCCAATCAACTTGTGCTAATTAGGCTGTGCTGAAGCTGAAAGGAGCTGTTTTTTCTTGCTGTTTGCTTGCAAGGAGGTAACTGCTGCGAGGCAGAGGCCAAAGGGTGGGGGCCAGTGGGTGGGTGAGGCTACATTTGGTGTATAAGATGCACCTAAATTTTCACCCCCTTTTAGGGGGGGAAAAGTGCATCTTATATTCTGAAAAATACAGTATTTCTGCTTGTTGGAAGGTTTCATAACTTTGATGGGATGTTGAAGGACATACTACAGTCATATATTGCTGATCTTCATCCTAGTTTTCAATTACATTGCGAAATGTAAATGTAGCATTACTACCACAGGGGAGAGAGAGAACAACTACCAGAATCTGATGAAGAATATTAATGAGGATGGGCAGAGAAGATTCTGTAATGTAATGTATATGGAGCCACCATAACTGTATGCAGTGTGTTGGTATAAGAGATTATTAAGCAGATTCAGGCTTTTGGGAACTAATCAAGTTATTTTGAATATTTAAACCATTATAACTTAAAGCATATTTTCCAACCCATGTCTGCTTCTCTTTTAACTTTTTAACTTTAACTTTTTATTTTGAAGCATTTGCATTTCTTTTTTGCACTGGTGCACCTTAAAATTACTTATTAAATTACCTGTTTGCAGTATTTAATAAGAATTAATAGCATTACAAAGATGGGAGGAAATAAAGCGTATCACAATGTACATAAATTTCAATCAGACAACTTGGCATGACTGCAAGGAAACATGTTTTATCTTCAAACAGAAAATAATGGATGGAATATATAAAGTTTCATCACATTTCAGTCAATGCAGGTAATCCTCGACTAAAGACTAACATTTCTGTTGCTAAGTGAGACAGTTTTTAAGCGAATTTTGTTCCATTTTACAACCTTTCTTGACACAATTGTTAAGTGAATCGCTGCCATTGTTAAGTTAGTAATAGGATAGGATAGGATAGGATAGGATAGGATAGGATAGGATAGGATAGGATAGGATAGGATAGAACAGAACAGAACAGAACAGAACAGAACAGAACAGAACAGAACAGAACAGAACAGAACAGAATAGAATAGAATAGAATAGAATAGAATAGAATAGAATAGAATAGAATAACAGAGTTGGAAGGGATCTTGGAGGTCCAAGCCCCTGTAACACAGTTATTAAGAGACTCTGGCTTCTCCATTTACTTTGCTTGTCAGAAAGTTGTAAAAGATTAACCCTGGGACATTGCAACCATCATAAACATCCATTGCCAAGCATCTGAATTTTGACCATATGACCATGAGGATGATGCAACAGTCATAAGTATAAAAAAATGGTCATAAGTCACTTTTTAAAGTGCTGTTGTGACTTCAAACAGTCACTAAGTGAACTGTTGTAAGAGGAGGACTACCTGTATTACCCTGACAGCAAAGGTTGAGCAAAATAACAAGGGATGTTTGTCATAGTAATGTACTCACCTTCTTTTCAAGACTGTCTTCTCCATCTGTGGAGCTGATGCTGTCACAAAGTCTTGTTCGGATTGGCCGTGACCTTTTGTTTTTCACTGAAAGCTGCAAACGAGTTTTCAGAGCTTTAGAATCCAATCTTTCTGTTTCAGGGACTGCTTCATTGAAATCTTTTGGAGGAAAAAACAACAACACTCAACTGTCTCAATACTCAGGAATATCCTGCACAATAGGATGTACAGAATGAACAATATTCTATTGATCAAATATAGAGGAAGTAATTTGTCTTTGCACACTGTCATCAAAGTGAATTGATCATTTGTTGCATGGAAATTAAAACTATGTTAGAAAATGTTGAGACATCCTGATGGTTTGTTAAAAACTGAAGAATAAGTTTTTATTTAAAAATTAACATACGCTAAATCCTTGGTGATAGAAATGTACTTAAGATAGGTATTTTTCCAGGAAAATGTTGTTTAGCTTAGTATATTCCACAGTGGAAGACAAAGAATGATTATTTGCATTCTAAGAAATGTAAACCAGTCTAGATGCTGGGGCATCTCCCCTTATTGTTCTTACAATTCATTAAATTAATTTTTATCTATTTAGTTTGGTCTAGTGGTTAAAGCACCAGGTTAGAAAGTGAGAGACTGAATTCAAGTCCTATGTTATCCATGGAAGCCAGCTGGCTGACTTTAGGCCAGTCACACTGTCTCGGTCATTCCCTACCCTACAATAAAGGGCTATTGTTGTGAGGAAAATAGGAGGAAGTTGTGTTGGATATGTTTGTTGCCTTGAATTATTTTAAAAATTCAAGGCAACAAAATAAATGTTATGGGTTGGGTTAAAATAAATAAAATTAAAGAAAGGTTGCAACTAATAAATTGGTGGGATTGTAACTCTAATTTGTACTGGAAGTACCAAATGAAAGCTTTTCTTCCAAAGAGAGATATCAGGCCAATTCAAATTCAGATTAAATGTTTCCTGAAAATGCCCAGATTCCACCTTCTTTCTCAAATGACTCTTATATCACTTCTATAGTTGCTCATTATATGATAAGATACTTTTATTTTGGTTTCTACTAGGGAGCAGTAAAAAACACGGGAAATATAGTTAATATAGTTTGAGCGTGTCACTAATATCCACACTTCTCCCAAAGCTAAATGGGTGTCGACTAGTGAGTATTTGGATATTAGGAAGTACTATGTCCTTGAACAGTATGTGAGTAGGTGACAGAAAATTCAAAATCAAAGACTATTTTGCAAGAAAACTTTTCATTAATCTCTTTTGTAGAAAGGGTGACTACAGCAACAGTAGTACAGTACAGTTCATTCATTCAAGGGATCCAGGAGTTAACTTCTATAAAAAGTATCTTGGGTTCATTTTAGGTCATTTTGATTTTGTCGCAAACTCCTAAGCCTTATTGACGGAATTAATTAGTAAATGTAGATATCAATGAACAGGTAATGATAACCAGTTATTTTAATGATTGAAAAAATCATCAAAGCAAAAGGAAAAGTGAGAATGTGGGCTATGAAATAGTCATATCTTGCTATAGAGCTAGTTTGGTTTGGAGGTTGGTTATTGTGTTGTGTAACCCCATTCATCTCTGGGGTTGTTTTCTATTTAACACATGAATAAATACAGAATAGAAGTGATAAAAAGAAACTTTTTAAAAAGATGGCAAAAAAAAAATAATAATAAAAAGCGTCCTTTCATGTTTTCCTTCAGTATTGTGTTTTCTTTCTCCCATCAAGTTTTCACTTTCTTTTCATTTCCTTACCAGTGCTGATATTCTAAAAGTAAATTTAGCTGAAGAATTAAAGGGAGTTCTATAAAAAATAAATATGGATTTTTAAGTATGTAGCTTACACGGAATTATTTTCCTCACAGCAATAAGTAATAAAACCACCTATATGCTCTACTCTACGCACCTTGCTCCTTTTCTTACAATTTTTGTTAAATTTAAGTAATTTTTAATGTTAGTATTTATTATTTTATTATTTAATATTTTATCTTCTTTTACTTGGTTGCAAGCCTAATAATATTTTATTTATTTTTATGTTATTATATTTTATGATAGAGATGACAGACAGACAGACAGACAGACAGACAGACAGACAGACACACACACACACACACACACACACACACAGATGCATAGATAGATACACAGATAGATAGATGGATAGGCAGGCAGGCAGGCAGGCAAAAAAAGTAAGGGAAAATATAGCTTAGCTCCAAGAATGTTAGAGAAATAGCATGGGAGATCTATAATATTCAGGTTTTGAAGATGGCATCAACTGGTTTCTCATAGTCTATGGATTCCTCTTCCTATTCTAGAATTAATGCTTCAAAGAGTCCTACAGATTTATAGAGCAGAATTGGAAGGTTGTGTCTAGCAGTACCAAAAAAGCACTGTAAGAAACCAACACATTCTTTTTTCTCCATGTTCATTTTGAAATGCTCAACAAATATGCCATATCCACGGAGGGAACTGTGGACAGTGGAACTGTGAATTATTTCACAGATATATAATATGTATAATATGCCCACATTCCATATTTTGCTTTTGATTCTTTTGAGATCTAGAATGCTTCCCAACGAGTTTTATATTATTTTTATTCCTTTTATTGTTGTTATTGATGGTGATGGTCAATTCATTTTATAAACTGTGCTCCTCAGGTCTAGATAATTTTTCAACGTATACATGCAATTATATGCATTTCAATGCACTTATGTAAATATATGAAATCAAAACCTAATTTTCTTCACTTCTATTTGTGGTAGAATCAATGACTGAAAGCAATGTAGGGGCTGTTAAGAAATATTCCAACTTGGATTCCAAAGCGGGGAGGAAATGAACGAGACCAAATACTTAGGACAATAACAAGCATTTCTCAAAGAAAGGCAAACAGTCTAGCAAAATTCTTGTGAACTGATGAATCTTAAAAAAAAAAACCTCTTGACCTAAACATTAGAACTATTTTGGTTGCTTACACCTGGCACTGATTCAACTACTGTATAAGTCAAATAAAAAATACTTTTCTTCTCCTCAAACCTTCTCCTTAAGATTTGTCACAAAATACACCTCACTTCAACCAGGTTGAAACATTTGGTATCTGACAAAATGTTTCCTTCTTTCATTCCATCTAGAAAAGCCATGAGCTGAATCTTTTTAAATATGGGATGGAGGATTAGATCCTCCAAGCATACCTGAGAGCAACCATTCAGTGTGCAAAAAGACTATTAGCACGCAAAAGCAAGAAATGATTTGGGAGATAGTAATAGAGATTAGCAGCTACTAATTGTATTACTACCTAAGGCAACTACTTTGTTGGGTCAAAGGATAAGGCCAGACCTAGCAGAGCAGGAACTCAGTGAGATTAACTAGAGGTAACAACTGCTGGGTTTTATTTTATTAACTTATTTACTCAGTGTTTTTCATAGGTAGCAACCACACAAGCACAAAGCAGCCTTGATACAAAATATACCCAATCAGCATAACCACAATTGTTTTATTTATGATTAATAACTAAACTCACATCTCACTGGCATGAAAAACTTTACAGAATTTTCATAGTAGATGTTGTTATGGAGTCAGATTTTTTAAAAGATTCATTTTAATAAGTGGACCAAGAATTACCAAAAATCATAATGAAAATATCTGTTATAATGCTATACTGGAAAATATAGGAAAAATTTAACATCAACAAGATGAATTTTAATCTTGTTTTTCAATATGCATGTAATGATAATTTATCTGGCCATTCTTTATTTTCCAATTCAAAAGATTTTTTAAAATTACATTTATGAATCAAAGCAATAATAGGAATGTAATTGAATTGTCCAACTTTAGGCTTTAATGGCATGGGTATATTGCTATACTGTAATTCATTCTAACATTTTATACTTAGTGTAAGACATAGGCAGGTAGCAGAAGCTAATTGCCCTCAGAAGCTAAGTAAGTTATGTCCTGCTTAATACTTGGATGGGGAACTATTGGAAAGTAAAGGCCTATTGATAAAAAGGCAAAGAAAACCACTTGTATAAGGCTGCCAAGAAAACTATTTGGATAGTTATCAAGACTCAAGTGAATCAATTGTATCTTTATTTTTAGTTACGTACAATAATAGTAAATATAATGTCACTATTATATTTTTGAAGAAATGTCTTGTCAAGAAGCATTTTCACTTTGTTTGCTCATAATATTGAAAAGCAAAGACTCCTATGTACATTATTTAACCAATGAAATATGAACATAATATTTGCTAGATGAAATCCTATATTATAAACTGACACGTTTAATGGAAGATAAAATTAAATCCAAACTTACTCTGACTTACTGAACAAGGCAGATATGTAGAAGCATTAAAAAGTGGTATCAATGCAGCTAAAGATAAATGATTTGACTGAACCCTTCTTCTGTACCTTACTTACTTACTTACTTACTTAAGTCTGCCAAAGCCAACCTATATGAGTGTGTTTATAGACTCAAATTTAAAAGAATCCTCTATGTAACAAATGATCAATAGAAACTCTATATTCTATACTTTCTAAGATATAGACATGCTATATACATTAGCTAATCCTTTTTCACTGAAGTAAAAATTAAAACTTCTTTTAATGAACATCTTTTGTTTCTCACCTTAGACAGATTAGAGGACAATATTTTTTATGTCCATGGAAAAAGTGCCAACTGGCAATTCTAATAGAAAACTTTATCAAACATGTTTCTTCTGGACAAAGGAAGGAATTATATACTTTGAAGTTTTATATATTTAAAAAAGTTGTTCTTGAAATAGTTGCCTTTTACCTTAGTTATATCATGCTATGACTCAGGAAGCCCCACCGAGTTAGGCAAGGTTGAAAAAAGACTCTTGATTGTGTGCAGTTCTTTCCTAAAAAGCATTTCATACTTTTGGTGATATCTAGTTGTAGCTAAACATCATTCTGTATACTGGCAAGATGGTTAATGTATCAAGAGTCTGACCCTATACATTTGATAATGACTCTTCGCAATATTTCATCACATAAAGATCAGGATGTTTGATTTCAAAACACTAGTTAGCTTAACAGTGTCAACTTTCTACACTCTTGATTCCTGAAATGGAAGCCAACTTTCTGATCAGGAAATAGCAAGACATCAGAAATCATGTCTGCACACATATATTTAACCAGCATGTGAGTGGATATAACAAAACATGGATTCCCAAGGTTGTACAGGCTATGAAGTACATATATAAATGAGCAACAGCCAAATGGAATGGATCTACAACTACATTGTTTTCACATTATTTCTTTTGCCATACTATTTATGAGTATTATGGGATAAGGACATGATCCCATAATTAAACATCCACTATACATTTATAACACTAATGGGAAGCGAGGAAAGTTCTAACAGACAGGAGACTGATTACATCTGCTGTCACAATGGATATATTTTAACACTGAACATTAGATCATGTGCTGTAGAAAAAAACTTACCGAATACATCATCAGAATCAACCCCCTTTATAGCTCCTTCTGCAAATATGCACAGGAAACCTATTAGCCAATTCTCTATTATATCCTATCTTTAAAATATTACAAATATCTTCTAAAAGGAAATTTTTTAAAAAGCTACAATAGACAATAACAGTCAGAAAACTAATTTTCTATCTGAAACATATTACCAAGAAGCTACTTTACTCTAGAAAAATTTGATTTATGTAAATGACAAAGGTGCTTTCACTAAAATGTATTAGCAATGTGACAAAGAATTATACAAGTATTAACAATATAAATGGGACAGCATTTATAACCCAAAGTTCATGTGTGTTTGGGACTACAGATAAATCTTTAGATTATAGATTTAAGTCTGGATCAGCCAATATTATGCTGAAAATCAGCTGTGTCTTATTTTCTTTCCTTCCAGAGCCTGATTCTGTCAATTTTTAAATCAAATACACCTATACCTGGGTTTGTTCTTATAAATTAACAAAGAATTGCTTCCCAACAGTGTATATATATAGTGCTTCTGTATGCAGTCATACCTCTCTGCCATCCATTTCTACATTGAACTACACAAACTATGCTACTAATATGTTCCATCTGCTCTCCTGCAGCTGACCATTATATGAGAATGGTTTTTTTATTTATTTTAAATATTTATATAGTTGCCTATCTTGAACAAAACTCTGGGCAGTTTACAACCCAAAATTTTCAACGTAATGGAAAGAGAAATTCGTTGTCAAAGCATGTACGACTTCTTGCCAAAATAGAGATGTCCACCCCTGCTCTGAACACATAAACACACAGGTGTCTCTATTGTTGCATAAATCTTTGGTTTATTTTTACAGATACAAAAGTCACTGCATTTTCCACTTTGAAATAAGGTAAATATAAAACATCTTAGAGTATGCAAACTCTTTGTTAATTTGTTAATATAATAGAGAAAAAATCAGATATAAATCGAACCAAAAAAAGTTATACATGTTTATATTTATATTTTTACTTATAAAGGTATTTTTATATAACATTATTTGATATGTTCAGCACATCATTTATTACTTTTCAAAAATACTAATCATTCCAATTCCTTCCACAGTAGTGATATACTAGTGTTTATCACACAGTAGTAACGAAACAATCTTCCGATTCACATTCAGACAAACCTTGAAGTAAGGTATCCAGGTAAGTTACATCAAGCTTTTCTGCTGTATTTCCTTTTGAGGATTCTCCAGCAAAGGTCTGTTGTTCAAAAATGTTATTATTGTTGATCTGGCCTTCATTTTGCCTCAGTAGCCTGAGCACTTCTGTTTCAAGTTCTTTAATCTGAGAGAAATATAGGCAACCATTAGGAAAAGATTTGAGACATTTTGTTTTCTTGAGGCAAATAAACAAAGCATCTCTCAATACTTCAGATCATGAGGGCTACTTCAAGTCCCTGTTTTAATGCAGGGATAATCTCTATGCCTTATAGTTCTACAATGTTGCTCATTGATTTAAAAGATTTATAATCTGCTCTTCTTGGTATCAAATTATAATAAATGAATTAATGCTTTCAAAATAAATAAAAGTTACAAAGTTTTTTTTACCCGAGCTTGTAAATATTGAACTTCAAGAAAGTGATCTTTTTCCAGATCTTCAATTTTCTGCTTGTCAGCATCATGGTACTGCAGATACTCAAGTTCTCTTTAGGGAAAAACATATTTGCTGTTTAGAACAATCTTTGAATTGTGATAAATACTGAATCAATTTGCTGAGGTGGTGTACTATACTTTAATATATAGTTTCTCAGAGAATTCCTGTTGATAAAGAGGTTTAATACTAATTTTATAACAACTATGGGACAATAAAAGGTGGAAAGGTGTTTGTTTACGGAGTGCACTGAAATAGCATTTCAGATTATCCTTTATGAAAAATGGTTAATTAGCACTATCAAAAAACAATGAAGGAAAATCAATATATGTCACATAGTTTGCTTCATAGACAGAAAAGCTGTGATATAAAGGCATTACATTTTTAGTTAGTGTTACTCATTTAGAATATGTTTAAATATTTCAAAAGCTATATGTCAATCTGTTTGGTATATTGTATAAATTTGTAATTTTAGCTTAAATGGTCATATACATTTTAGAAGGTTTAAGCATACAGGCACTATTTGATTAATGATATTTGGAGGCTTATACCCAACCTGTTCTTCATTTTAAAACCTTTTAGCTGCAATCTACATATATAGCCTCATATTACATTCGCAAAACCCCTACAAATTAGGCTGAGGGGTGAGGCTGCCCAAAGTCAACCATATAATTCATGGCTGAGCCAACATCTGAATTAGTGTTCCCCTCAATCAAGCTTAACAGTTATATTGTTCTCTGCTTGTCTTCATACAGTTTGGGAATTGGTTCTTGACTAAGCACAAGGATGTTGCTTACTTTTGTTGAAACTCCTTAATCAATTTCTTAGCTTTGTTGTATTTCCTCTCCAAGGTCTGATATTGCTCTTGTGACTCTCTCAGATGTCCATTTACATTATGGCACAGATCTTGTGCTTCAACCCAATAAGCCTCGATTTTCGCCATATTGTCCTTGTTTTCCTTAATGCTCTGCTGAAGTAATTTCCTTTCCACCTGCCAGCTTATTTTCTCATTTTCAGCAATCTGCAGCTGGAGAAAATTAAGTTACAGATTTATATATTCAGCTTAATTGACTGGAAAGAATGTTGGGAATATGGCTACTATTATTTAGAATAACAATAATTCAAACAGCTTTCCCCTCATGTTTTTTAGTTCTACAGATTTTAGTTCTACAGACTATTTAAGTCAATTCAGAAGGTTGGCAACTGACTCATATTTTTGATGGTTGCAGTGTCCCAGGGCAGTGTTGAAAGCCAAATTTTTTTACTACTGGTTCTGTGGGTGGGGCTTGGTGGGCGGGGCATGGCGGGCATGGAAGGGGAATGATACTGCAAAATCTCCATTCCCATCCCACTCCAGGGGAAGGATACTGCAAAATCCCCGTTCCCTCCCCACTCCTGGGAGAAGGATATTGCAAAATCTCCATTCCCACCCAACTCTGGGGCCAGCTGGAGGTAGTATTCTCCGAGCCACTACCGGTTCTTCAGAATCTGTCAGAACCTGCTGGATTTCACCGCTGTCCCATGGTCAGGGAATCACCTTCTGAGAAATAAAGTCAATGGGGAAACCAGATTGACTTAACAACCGGGTTACTTACTTAACAACTGCAGTGATTTATTTTACAGCTATGGCAAAAAAAAAAAAAAGATAGTAAAACAGACCAAAACTCACTTAATAAATGTCTCGGCAACATAAATTTTTGAATTTAATTTGGCCTACTTGTAAACCATTTGTATAACATAAATTCTCCTAAATCAACTAAGGCTATTACTTCTTGTTATTCCTTTCTAAAAAGAACTTTTCTTTGCTTCCCTTTTAATCCATCTGAAAATAAGAATATTGTCATTTGATGGTGATAACCATCCTTACCTTTCTTTTTAGCTGCTTAACCTGTGTTCCTGTAATTGTATGCCGGAGTTGCAACTAAAAATGCAAAACCACAAAGCAAACAAGTGAGCTGCAAATGCCATTATTCTTATATACATATATTTGTGCATACATACGTCTTGTGAGTTCTGTCTGTCTATCTCAGGTTTGTTGCACTTGCAGTGGGAACACTGCGGTGCAGAAGAATATAAATTAAAATATCTAATCTGAAAAATAACTCAGTCTTTGCAAGCTAATTAAAGAAAAAGTGTTGCTAGCCTGCCTCTCTAAATATAAGATTAGGATATTCAAACTGCCTAGTGAAATCATTTCTCCTTAAAGATGTAATATGAATAGTCATATTCAGTTTCTTAAACAGACTAGATTTAAATTTTCTAGTGCATATAAATACTCTAAAAAATATTAGGGCAATTGTTTAAAGCAGACATGTTCTAAAGTAGCAGCAAAACCTGGAAGAATCTATGAAATGCATCAGTACTAGGAAGGAAACAGTAGAATAAACATATATACTATAACCAAAAGGAAATACTTGTAACCCTCGAATTGGTAAAAATAATTGAAGAAATTTTTAAGCTATCTTTCTTGTACTTTTATTTCTGAGAATCTCTGAAACAGAAATTCCAGATTTGGAACTTTCTGGTAAGACGAATTATCTCAACTCTAAAACCAAAATTGTGATGATTAATGGAAAGCAAAAGTAAAAAATTGTGATGCAAACAAACAAACAGTGGTCAAATAAATTAAACAGTGGTCAACACCAGATCTAATCAGGTTGAAAATCAGCAGAGAAAGTATTTACCTGCTAATGAAAGGCCACCATAAAAGACTCTAAACAGAGCCCTTAAATGTCAGGGTTCCTTTACGAACAGATATTCACAGCAAAAATGTTTTTTTAAAAAAATTGTAAACCTGCAATTCTCTTCAACGAAACATTTGATAAACTGTGAGAAAAGTCAGGGGTGACTGATAGGAATAAAATGTATGGCTTAAGCGGTTCTCAACCTGGGGGTCGCGACCCCTTTGGGGGTCGAACGGCCATTTCACAGGGGTCGCCAAAGCCTTCTCTCGCCCCCCCCCATGCCGTCACTCACCCTCATCCTCTGCCTCTGTTGGATCGCCGGTTGCCATTTGCTTATCCCGCCCACTCCCAATCCATTGCTGCCTCTGGAGTCCCAGCTGATGGCTAGAGGGAAAAAAACTTTAAATTCTTGAAGCAGGGCTTCAAAGAACCGCCCTACTCTCAGCTGTTTTGCGGAGGGCTCTGTTGCTAGCTAGCTGCAAAGAGGTAAATTCCTGGAGCAGATTTTTTTCCCCCTAGCTATGCTGAAAAAGCGAAATTGAAAGTAAGCAGGGTCTTGGCTGCAAGGTGACAAAATGAGGCAGAGAGATTTCTTTTTCTTTTTTCTCACCAAAAAAGATAGCTGCAAAACTGCAAACAATGGGAAATTTAGGGCAAAAGAGGAGGTTCAAGATTTTAAAACACATAAGAAAAAAAGCTCTATTTAACTAGGGAATTGTAATAATTGAGATACTATTAATTGTATATTGTGTTGAAAGCAGAAATGGTTAAGTTGTGGTTTGGAGGAATATATGGGGGAAATTATTTGGTTTATTATTATTGGTAAATATAATTAATTGATTTGTAAGAAAATGGATTGCATGGAAATAATTGGAATATTCATGTTCATATTGATTAATATACAAAAAAGATAGTTATATAACTAATTGATTTATATTAAAATGTTGAATTTGTATTAAACAACTGTATTACATAATTACATAATTAACCAATGTGAGGATGGATATAAAAATAGATGACAATGCATCAGGAGTATAATATAGAATAGAAGGGAAAAATTGAATTTGATTAAGATTAGAGATGAGGATGAAGGGTAATATTGGTTTTTTTTAAAAAAATAGATGAGGAATAAATATGGTAAAAAGGAAATATAGAAATTGTAAATTTAATTGAAATGACTAAACACTGTGTTGGAAGAAATATCCTTCTGGGTTCTGCTCCAAATGGGGAAAAAGACACTGAAAACATGGAAACTGCTTGGAAAGATGGTTTAATGGTGGACAGGATCACATGGCTTAAGTTCCTGAACAGAAAAGGGGCAGATACAGTAAATCCTCAGGTTTTTATGCTCTCTCTGGCTTTGCATTTCTTGGGGCCCCGAAAGAGTATCCTGATTGGTTGTCAGACTCCCAGGGGGTAGGGGTCTTAGCTAGCCTTGCTGACTGATGGTCACATGTGCTTCCCAGGTCACATGCTTCCCAGGTCACATGTGGTGAGTTTCAGTTGCTAGATGGGGCCCATTGTGTTAGTTTTTGTTGCTATTGTGTTGCAAATGTCCTTTGACAAAGGATTGACTTTCTGCCTCTGGCCCATTAACAAAGGGTGGGGGGGCAGGAAGGTGGGAGCTGCTTTGTCTGTAAAATATGCTTCTCCATTTCTCATCCAGGGAAATATAATATTCTGCCTTTTTAATATTTCATTCTTCTAGGAAAGGGGTGGGTGCTAACCTCCTACAACTGTTTAAATTTGTGAACCGGCCAAATACTCTGTTCAAAGAAAATATGTTGTATGTTTTTATGCGTGTTTCTAATTATTGCTTTTTATTCCTATTTGTTCTCTTTTATTCTTTAAAGTTTAACAATTCATTCTTTATCTTAATATCTTTATATCTGTTTGGGGTTGTCTTTCTTCCCTTTCATCTTTTTTATTGTACAGCAATCTTTCTCCTCAAACCTACCACCTCTGTCTTTTCTTTCCTTCTTACTCTCTTCCCCCCCCTCTTCTTCTTCTCCCTACTTCCTCTTCCTTTCTCCTTCTCCTCCTCTCTTCCTCCCTCTCTTACCCTCACTCCTACTCTAATTTCCCTTCCCTTCCTTCATCCCTCTCTATTGTTGTATCCTTTTATGCATATGGACTACTCAGAGGGCTGAAAAAGTTATTTTTGACTGGTCCTCGCACTTTTGACCAGTCCTCGAACTTACGACTGTCCTCACAATTTACGTTTTTGCCCTATCTTGTCACCATGGTGAAGAGAAGCAGTTGTGAAATGAGTGACACGGTTGTTAAGAATGCTACAATGGGCATAAATGATGACCAGTCATAACTGTGAAGACCGGTCAAAAATGCGAGGACCTGTCAGAAATCACTTTTTTCAGCCCTCTGGGTAGTCCTTTTGTGCACAGGGACTACTCAGAGGGCTGAAAAAGTTATTTTTGACTGGTCCTCGCACTTTTGGCCAGTCCTCGAATTTACGACTGTCCTCACATTTTATGTTTTTTGCCCTATCTTATCACCATGTTGAAGAGAAGCAGTTGTGAAATGAGTGACATGGTTGTTAAGAATGCTGCACGGGCATAAATGTGAGAATGGTCATAAGTGTGAGGACCAGTCAAAAATCCGAGGACCTGTCAGAAATGACTTTTTTCAGCCCTCTGGGTAGTCCCTATAAACATAGCCATGGCACCCGGTCACATGACCAGCTAGCCACGCCCACCCAGTCACATGACCTCCAAGACATGCCCATAAAATAAGCCACGCCCACAGAACCGGTAGTAAAAAAATTTAGAACCCACCCCTGGTTGGGGGTCACCACAACATGAGGAACTGTATTAAAGGGTCGCGGCATTAGGAAGGTTGAGAACCACTGGCTTAGAAGCAGAAGTGAGCTGCAAAATTGACTTGATCAGTAGTTGGCAACCAGAGCATATTCCACATCTGGAATTTTATAGTCCAGTTACAGCATAACTAAAACTGGTTATAAATGTCTTCCATTCCATAGTTATAATATAAACACTTTCTGTGTTTTTCCAACTCACTGAGGAATAATTGCTTAGTTTGCGCCCATTTTAATGGATTTGGGTGTGGGAAAGGGGAAGGATCTGATCATATGAATTCCTGAGCTGGATTTTTAAAAAAAATATAAAGCCATAAATCACTCTTATTCTCAAAGCTTATGGTCGATTCTGCCCTTCTAAAACAGCACTATAAGCCACTGAACTGTATTTAGGTTTCTAAATAAATAGGTTTTCAAATGGCTTTGATAACTACAATCTGTCCACATACAGATGGTTTACTCAATGTTCCTCTGCTATTAAAACAGATTCTTGTATTATCAATATAAACAATGAACACCAATTAGTTGTATTTAGATCATTGAGTAGAACATGATATGATACACAATAAACCAAGAGTTAAAAAAAACTGTCTGAGCAACAGAAATTTATTTTGTAAATTAACCATGTGTACTCCTAACTAAATGTAGTGCCTATAAGGTAATAGAAACAATCCAATAATTGATTGGGAATGAATCTCTATGAACACCAATACTATTATACCAGTGTATAAATACTAGTAACATTTCCTCTGATACTGAAGGCAGTGATCTATTGAAGAGATATGTGGAATATCAGTGTGACAGAAAGGGAAAAGGGCTAGATTAAGCTAGGCATGATCTACATCAGGCAAATTGAAGAGTTGTGGATTTCAACTCCCAGAATTCCCCAGCCAGCATGGTCAGCTGAGGAATTCTGTGAGTTGAAGTCCACAAATCTTAACATTGCCAAGTTCGGAGACTCCTGATGTACATTGTAGCCTACTCTCAACCATAGAAATTCACTAGTTAATTTAGCCCCGTAGTTATGCTAAATTATGTATTTTAACCCTGTAATCTTGCCTCAATCTACTTCTCCGTTATTATATTGGGGAAAAATTGGCAAAACAAATACTATAAATTCTGCCTTGACATCCCGGAGATAAAGGGGGATATAGAATAACAGAGTTGGAAGGGTCCTTGGAGGTCTTCTAGTCCAACCCCCTGCTTAGGCAAGAAATCCTATACCACTTGAGATTCTAGCCAATTCCTTTTATTGCTATCATCACAACAGTTGCTTTAAACCCATTGCTTCAGTCTTCTAAGGCAAAGGGAAGCTTCTATGTCCCTTTGCAGATTTTTCCTGATATTAAAGAAGGAAATGAAAATGGATTTGTGCTACTATGGTTTTGAATACCAGTTTGCATGAATCACTGAAGAGAATGACCTCGTAACTTGGGTATAATCTTACAGACAATCTGGTGGCTGCTATAAGAAAGATTAGAATTAGAGAATTAAAAATGAAAAACAAGGATTAGAGATTCTAATTCTTTAATTGTGCTCAAGCCATATATTCATTAACTATGAATGCAAATGGGCAATATTACACTTCGCACTGATAGAGTCTATATTAGTGAAAATATCAGTTTTTCAATGTTTTCTGAATCCCGAATACAAGCTTTTGTTTGATCATTTCTATCCATTTCTAATTCTCTAGATTACCTCTTTAAATTTTTCGGCCAATGTCTCTATTTCTTCTGGAGAAAGGATGTTATCATTTTCAGGACAATCAAAGAATTGAATGTTTTTTTGTTCTCTTGGATAAGCTGCCCCAAAATCTTCATTGTCTTCATCAGCACCATATTCCTCTGTCTTGGAAGCCAATTCATTTTTTAAATTTGTTTAAACAATTTTTAACATACTTTCATTAAAGAAAACAGTAAATTTACTGCAAAAAAATTCCCCAGACAAGTAAATCTAAACAATTTTAACCACCAATAAAATCATAAAATCTGTAAGGAAGGTTGAGCCTTCTAGAACAGTTCTAGATGAGAAGTAAAGCAGTTTTTTAAGTATTATTTCATTATTTATTTACTTTATTACCTAAGTGTGAATTATTCATTTATATGCTTGAAGATTGGGAATCCCTACCTCTTCTTTTTCTCAATGGTCGCTAGAGTAAAAGCTGGAAGCTTTTAAAAATAATCAAACCTGGATTCTCAGTTTCTGACTTCAAAAAAAAATCAGAAAATAGTAAAATATTTGGAATTTTGGAAGAAGGTATTATTTCCAGTTGCAACTACCAAAAATGTTAAAGTAGAAAGAATGAAATATAAACAAATAAGGAATGAACAAGATACCTCTTCTTCATTCTCATCCTCATCAGCTTCATACTGTGCATAATGATGGCCTCTCTGGCGGTGGTCATACTCTATGGTCTGCTTAATCAATTTACCCACTTCACTTACTTGTCCTGCTTTTTCTCTGCCTATTAAAAACCTGGGGAGAACATAAATGAACAAGGGTAATTCCCCCCCTCTTCTCTTGGTTTCTAAACAGCCAAATATAGAAAACAGTAATGGAACATCTTACAACTAATACGCTTTAAACATTTGTGGACTAATATTCACTTTATCAATACTGCATAACCAAAGCCCAAACCTCTCATTTAAAGGAGATATTTTATAATGCATTGTTGTTTGTAACTGAGTTATACTGAATGTCAGGGTTCCAAGTAACACCCCCAACGAAAGAAAACTCCGAGGCTTGAACTTCCTCAAAATTTGTTTAAATGAGGGACAGCAAATCATTTACATTCTTGATGCAGAACAAATTTACAAATTAGATTCTCTTAAGCAGCAGAAGTGTCACTACTATCTGCAAATTTAGGTACCTCTAGTGCAGGGGTCTCCAACCTTGGCAACTTTAAGACTTGAGGAATTCTGGGAATTGAAGTCCACAAGTCTTAAAGTTGCCACGGTTGGAGACTCCTGCTCTAGTGAACACTTGAATTTATGTATATCAATTTGTGCATTTTTTTCTTTAATGGTTTAGGACTATGGACTATTGAAAAGAATAGTGACTGTATTAAGAGGCCAAAGCTCTTGATACTGGATAGTTGTACCTGACTGTTCTATGCAATAAAGGAGAAACACTCAAAACAACACTTTAAATAAGAACATTTAAAAGAGCATAGGGCCAAGGGACCATGCAAGAAGCTGCACACGTACATTCATCCCAAAAACAGGAGCAAAAGAGCACGTGGCTTTCACTTACCTTTAAAATCCTGAGGTTGTTTGTACGCCCATCAAAATTAGAAAACTATTTTTACACAGCACTGGTAATCCTTGAGTTATGACCATAATTGAGTCTGGCAATTATGACCATAAGTTGACTGTCATATAGGAGGTCACTATGTTACCAGGAGCAATTTTATAATCTTTTTTTTTTTTTTTTGGCAATCATTAAACAAATAGAGAGGTCATAAAGGAAAGCAATTCTTCACTATGGGATGGGGGTTTTCTTGCCAGAAATCAGAAGTAAACACTGGTTTCCAGCAAAACCTTCATAAATTGTAATCATATGACCACAGGTGCCTGCCGCAAATGGCCATAAATCTAGGCTGGTTGTAGAGCCCCCCAAATGTGTCAAATGATTGTGACGGGGGCAGCAACACTGAAACTTCAAAACTGGATCATAAGTAGCTTTGGGTATCTGTTGTAACTTCAAATGGTCCTGTTGTGGCCCGCCAGCAGCCTGCGCAGATCGTGGCTGATCCCGACGAGGAGGAGGCTGGTGTGGTGTCACACCAGCAGCCTGCGCAGTCGGCACTCGCATCGGAGAGTGAGGAGGATGAAGAGGATGTGGTGCCAGAGGCAGAGACTCAGCCAGGGCCTTCAGAACCTCCAGAGGCTCCTTCAAGTGGAGATAGTGAAGTGGAGGAGCCTCTCTTAAATGCTTGAGCATGCAGGGCTGCCAAAAGGCAGGAGTGGCTACTCAGGAGGAGGAGATCTCCTCGAGAGTAAGGCTTGAGGATAATTGGCCACTCCCTTAGCCTATTTAAGTCACACACCGTTAGTAAGTTTCTTGCTAGAAACAACTTGTAATTATCATCAGAGCATTTTTGGAAAAGTCTTATCGTATCTTGTTTTCTGGGCTGGTTGCCAACCTTTGCCGGACTTTGGTTTATTCTTGCTACTTAATAAATTTGATAAGGACCGTTGGTGTGTGTCAATATCCTCAGGAATCTGGAGCTGGGGCAGAACAGGTCCCTAAGCAACTGATCACAAGTTAAGGTTTACTGGTAATAATAAACAGGTCACACAAACCTGTGATGTCATGACAATAATATCACCTTCTGCAATCTTCTGACAAGAAAAGTCAATGGGAAAACCAGATTCACTTTACAACCATGTTACCAATTTAATAAATGCAGTGATTCGCTTAACAACTGTGACAAGAAAGGCCGTAAAGTGGGGCAACTTAACAACTGTCTCATTTAGCAATGGAAATTTTGGGCTCAATTGTGGTCATAAATTGAGGACTACATGTATGTGTAATTTTTTTAAAGGAAATTTTTAAAAAGTAACAGAAATTCTTACTCTTCTAATGAAGGAATGTCAAATACTTAGAAATGAACACTGCAGGAGAATTAAAAATTCACACAGATGACTATGTGGGAAACACAACACACATTATCCATCTTCATCATATGAGAGAGTGTAAATCATAATTTCAAGCCAGTTGCCAAATATCTGGATTGTGATCATGTTACTGCAAGGATGCTATGATGGGCAGAAAGGCAGGCCATCTTGCTGTTGTGTATAAGTTTAAACAGTGCTTAATGAGTGGTTTTTAAGGGCCATCTATACCAGTGGTGGGTTGCCCCCTGGTTCGCACCGGTTCTATAGAACCGGTAGTAAAACTAACGGGAGGCTCCACCCACCGACTCCGACATCATCAAAGCGATTCTGCGCATGCACAGAAGCTTCTCTGTGTGTGGCCCCACTGCAAACCAGTAGTAAAGGTAAGTAGAACCCACCCCTGATCTGTACCATTTGACAATGTGAGGTAACAATCAGTAGAATAATAACAATCAGACTAAGCGCGGCCACATGTTTATTGGACCCGTGTCCCTCCTGGCTGGTGCTGGCCTCTCGGGAGGTTACACGAGGTTGGCTCCAGGGGATTATAAATGCTTCCTTGAGAGAGGGTGTCTTCCCTGCCACCTTGAAGGAGGCGGTGGTGAGGCCTCTCCTCAAGAAGCCTTCCCTGGACCCAGCAGTGTTGGCTAATTACCGTCCAGTCTCCAACCTTCGCTTCGTTGCGAAGGTTGTTGAGAGTGTGGTAGCGCGACAGCTTCCTCAGTACTTGGATGAATCGGCTTATCTAGATCCGTTCCAGTCGGGCTTCAGGCCTGGATACAGCACGGAAACAGCATTGGTCGCATTGGTAGATGATCTCTGGAGGGCCCGGGACAGGGGTTGCTCCTCTATCCTGGTCCTATTAGACCTCTCAGCAGCTTTTGATACCATCGACCATGATATCATGCTGCACCGGTTGGAAGAGTTAGGGGTGGGGGGCACTGTGTTGCGGTGGTTCTCCTCCTTTCTCTCTGATCGGTCGCAGTCTGTGTTGACAGGGGGGCAGAGGTCGACCCCGAGGCCCCTTATATGTGGGGTGCCACAGGGGTCGGTTCTCTCACCCCTTCTGTTCAACATTTATGTGAAGCCGCTGGGTGAGATCATCCGTGGTTTTGGGGTGAAGTATCATCAGTATGCTGATGATACTCAGCTATACATCTCCACCCCGGACCACCCCAATGATGCCCTTAAAGTGATGTCCCAGTGCCTGGAGGCTGTACGGATCTGGATGGGGAGGAACAGACTCAGGCTCAACCCATCCAAGACCGAGTGGCTGTGGTTTCCGACGTCCCGATATAGTCAATTGGTGCCATCACTGACTATTGGGGATGAGTCATTGCCCCCCACGGAGAGGGTTCGCAACTTAGGCGTCCTCTTGGACTCACGGCTGTCTTTAGAAGAACACTTGACGGCTGTGGCCGGGAGGTCTTTTTATCAGGTTCGCCTGATTCGCCAGTTGCGTCCCTTTCTGGATCGGGACTCGTTAAAAACGGTCACTCATGCCCTCGTCACTTCACGCCTGGACTACTGTAATGCTCTCTACATGGGGCTCCCCTTGAGGAGCTCCCGGAGGCTCCAGCTGGTCCAGAATGCGGCCGCGCGGGTAGTTATGGGAGCAGCATGGCGCTCCCATGTGGCTCCCCTCCTGCGCGAGCTGCACTGGCTCCCTGTGGTCTTCCGGGTGCGCTTCAAGGTCTTAGTTACCACCTTTAGAGCGCTCCATGGCTTAGGACCGTACTTACGAGACCGCCTTCTGCCTTCTGCCACCAATAGCCTCTCACCGCCCAGTACGCTCCCATAGAGAGGGGCTTCTCAGGGTGCCGTCAGCCAAACAATGTCAACTGGCGGCCCCCAGGGGGAGAGCCTTTTCTGTGAGGGCACCCACCATCTGGAACGAGCTCCCCCCAGAGATACAGAAGATTCCGGATCTGCGCACTTTCCGCCGTGCCCTCAAAACATTCCTGTTTCAGCAGGCCGGCCTGGCCTAACTTTCCCTTTATATTGCTTTTTGATTTTATTTTAAACTGGGATGTCTTGAATTATCTAGGACCAGAATGTTTAGTATATTTTAATTGGTTTTTTATTATTAACGTTTGTATTACATGTATTTTTATTGTTCGCTGTTCACCGCCCTGAGTCCCTTAGGAATAGGGCGGTATATAAATTTAATAAATAAATAAATAAATAAATAAATAAATAAATAAATAAATAATATTTAATAGACTTACAGTATATTAAGTGTAAATATATTGAGGCAAAGGGATTTTTGAAAATGTTAATTGTTTTCATTCCATTTATTTGGAATATGCTATTTGTTTTATTACAGTAGCATAATTGCATTGAATTTAAAATTTCTTTTCCAGGGTTTCCTAGAAAATGTTACCGGATTCGTCCTGTGCTACGTCTGAGAACTGTTGAAGCAAAATCTTGTGAAACACCGACCATGTTGACACCATCTACTTCTATAAGTTGATCGTTTAATCGGATCCTTTAAGAAAAATAAAAACAGACATGTAAAGAAATGCATGATATTTTATAATCTGCTTAATGAAAGATAAAATAAGTTGGCCCTATAATCCACTTCTGAAGCCTCTTTTGAAACTTAAATCAAATGTTTTTGAACTAATTCTTCGCTTAAACCAAGATAAACAATTCAACATCAGGTACAGTAGCAAGTTTATAAATACAGTTGTGTAAACTTTGAACCAAATAACAATAAACAAACACATTATCATAGAAAAATGTACACTTACTGGAATAAAAGACAGCATAAGAGGAAAGAGAGAAGCATAATATTGCAGAGTACTGAGGATCAATTCTTTTTCATCATTCAATTGTCTTCTGATTTTTTTATGTTTGCATTTAAGTAGAATCAAATTAGTAATGCAGCCAGTATCTCATAAAACTTGGCTCTTGAAACAAATGACATTTTGGTCATACCCAGTAAAATTTTCTGCTAAATGTAACTCAACTTGCATACAAAAAACTCAAATGTTGGTATTTAGTGGTATAGTAGTGTTGGTATGGAGGAGGGCAATTCCATCAGGATTATGGGTGGGAGGGGCAGATATGGTGGGAGCAGGGGGCCACATCGTATTGTGGGGGCACGTGCCTGCTGTCTCCAAGCGGCGACGTGCTCCGGCTCCCAATGCTCACCTCGTTCCCTGGGTTATCCAGAGTCTCAGAGCCCTGGTCTTAGGCTGATGCTGTGCAACGCCAGGTCCGTGGTCAACAAAGCCCCCCTCATTTGTGAGCTGATTCAGGAGGGGGTAGCGGACCTGGCGGTTATTACAGAGACCTGGTTGGGCCAGGAGGGGGGTCCCCCTCGTTGAGATGTGCCCACTGGGTTTACGCGCATTTCATCAGCTGAGGGCCCAGAGTAGGGGTGGGGGAGTGGCGGTTATTGTAAAGGAAGGCCTCGATTCTAGGGAGGCCACTGTACCTCAGATAGCCAGATGTGAGTCTCTCCTTGTGAAGTGGGGCCATGGGATGCAGATGGGCTTGCTGATTGTGTACTTGGTTCCCTGCTGGTGGCAGCGGCCCTGCCCAAGCTCCTCAAAGTTTTATCCGGGGTGGTGGTTGATACCCACAGGTTTTTGGTCATGGGGGATTTCAACCTGCCGTCCATCAGTGAAATGTCGGAGGTGGCTCGGGAGTTCATGGCTTCCATGACAGCCATGGACCTGACCCAGTTAATTCATGGCCCTACTCACACAGGAGGACACACTCTGGACTTGGTTTTTGTCTCTGGTCAGTGGTTGAATGGTCTAGATATAGGGGATATAGTCATCGAACCCTTGTCATGGTCAGACCATTCTCTCCTTAGACTTGACTTCCTGACTACTACACCCCACCGCAGGGAGGCAGAGCCCACTAGGTGGTTCCGCCCCAGGTGCCTGATGGATCCTGATGGGTTCCAAATGGAGCTTGGGCTATTCCCTGAGACTCTGGCTCACGACTCAACGAAAGACCTGGTGGCCACCTGGGATAGGGCAGCCACTGGTGCTTTAGATTGGGTCATGTCTTTACGGCCTCTGACCCGGTGCCGAATCGGCCCAGCTCCTTGGTTCTCCGAGGAGCTGAGGGAGATGAAGCGCCGGAAAAGACGCCCAGAGAGTAGTTGGAGGGCTAGTCGTTCTGGATCTGACCAAGCACTAGTGAGGTCTTATAACAAGACCTACTTAGTGGCGATAAAAGCGGCAAAGTGCAACTACTTTTCCGCTCTTTTTTTTTTTTTGAAAAACTTTATTGAGTTTAAAAAGACATAAATATATTGACATTTCCATTAATATCAGATGTGCAGTGGTTTTAACTATATACAGAATATATTTCTGGTGACATTTCAAATTACTTTTTACTTTTATTTAACACACCTTTTTCTCTTCCTTTCATTGTATCATACATCCATTCATACCACCTTCCCCACACAGTATAGTATTCTGAATTCTCATCATTGTTTATTTCATGAGTTAATTTAGTCATCTCTGTGCACTCCTGTATTTTCCTAATTATAAGCTCTTCTGGTGGCTGGGTTTTCTCTTTCCAATATTGTGCATAAGCCAATATGGCGGTTGTAATTATGTGTATCATTAAATGAATCCTTTCATTTCCATATGGCTTCTTTACTATTCCCAGGAGAAATATTTCCAGTGTTAATTCAATATCTTCCCCAATTATTTCTTGTAACCATCTCCTGGTCATACTCCAATATTCTTTCGCTTCCGGGCACGTCCACCAAATGTGAAAGAAGATGCCTTGACCATAGCCACATTTCCAACAGTTGGGGTGCATATTGGGATATATCTTTGCTAGCCTAGCCGGGGCTAGATACCATCTGTGGAGCATCTTGTAGTGATTTTCCTTGTATATCGCAGCTCTGGTCAATTTAAGGTTCTTATTCCATGCCTCCTCCCATTCATTAAAATTTATATCACGTCCAATATTTTTCTCCCATGCATTCATTTGATTCTTTGTTATATCCTCAGCCCTGTCTTCATCTAATAAATAGTTGTATAATTTAGCCAGGATCTTTTTGCCTGTTCCCATCAGGACTTTATCCAACCCATTAAGTCCAAGTTCTAAGCCACATTGTTCTTTGTCTTTCTGGTATCTAGATTTTATTTGTAAGTAGGTCCACCAATCTAAAATTATTCCTTGCTCTCTCAAGGTATCATTTGATTTAAGATTTCCTCCTTCATCTAAAATGTCTTTATACCTACTCATTTTCTCCATTCCCCATCTATTGGAATAGATCAGGGCCTCCATCGTGGAAAGCCACCTTGGGACTTTTTTATAGTATCTCTGCCTAATCAGGATCCATGTTTGTATCAATGAGTTTCTGATTTTATGTCTATGAAAATAAGCGGCAAAGTGTAACTACTTTTCCGCTCTTATCATGTCAGCAGATAATCGCCCAGATGCCCTATTTAGGGTGACCCGCTCCCTTCTCCACCTGGGAGTGCGGAAAGACCCCTTGCAAGGGCATGCTGAGGATTTTGCGCATTATCTGCATGATAAAATCGCTCAAATTTGGGACGGCCTGGACTCTGACTGGGTGGGTTCAGGCGAGGTGTCCGAGGCGGGTCTTGAGAATGTTATCTGGGAGGAGTTTGATCCTGTGACTCCCGAGGACGTGGACAGGATGCTGGGGAGGTTGAACGCAACCACATGTTTATTGGACCTGTGTCCCTCCTGGTTGGTGCTGGCTACCTGGGAGGTTACACGAGGCTGGCTCCAGAGGATTATAAATGCTTCTTTGAGTGAGGGTTTCTTACCTCCCGCCTTGAAAGAGGCGGTGGTGAGGCCCCTCCTCAAGAAGCCTTCTCTGGATCCGGCTGTTTTGGCAAATTACCATCCTGTCTCCAACCTTCGCTTTGTGGCGAAGGTTGTTGAGAGTGTGGTTGCGCGACAGCTCCCACAGTATCTGGATGAAACTATCTATCTGGATCCATTCCAGTCCGGCTTCAGGCCTGGGTACAGCATGGAAACGGCATTGGTCGCTTTGGTTGATGATCTCTGGAGGGCTCGGGACAGGGGATGTTCCTCTGTTCTGGTCCTATTAGATCTCTCAGTGGCTTTTGATACCATCGACCATGGTATCATGCTGCGCCGGCTGGAGGGGTTGGGAGTGGGAGGCACCGTGCTACGGTGGTTCTCCTCCTATCTCTCTGACCGGTCGCAGTCCGTGTTGGCTGGGGGGCAGAGGTCAACCTCGAGGCACCTTGTTTTTGTTTTTGTTTTGAAATTTTTTTTTATTTTTAAACCAAACTTAAAACATAAAACAATTGTCATCCATTACAATTACAGAAAGTGTATTGATCAGTTACGAATCTTTTGTGCTTAATCCTCTATCCCACATTTTCTTATTTAACAGTTTATTACATTATTATTCTCATTTACCAATTATTTAACAATAAATTATCCTCTATAAGGGGAAGAAAAAAACCCCTTTATATATTTTATTATCTTATCCATTTCATGTTTCATATTTCATTTCCATTCGAGGCACCTTGTTTATGGGTTGCCGCAAGGGTCGGTCATCTCGCCTCTCCTGTTCAACATTTATGTGAAGCCGCTGGGTGAGATCATCCGTGGATTTGGGGTGCGGTGCCATCTCTATGCTGATGACACTCAGCTGTACATCTCCACCCCAGACCACCCCAACGATGCCCTTGAAGTGATGTCCCGGTGCCTGGAGACTGTGCGGGTCTGGATGGGGAGGAACAGGCTCCGACTGAACCCCTCCAAGACCGAGTGGCTGTGGCTGCCGGTGTCCCAATATAGCCAGCTGGTGCCATCGCTGGCTATTGGGGGCGAGTCATTGGCCCCCACGGAGAGGGCTCGTAACTTGGGGGTCCTCCTCGATGCACAGCTGTCTTTTAGAAGAGCATATGACGGCCGTGGCCAGGGGGGCTTTTTATCAGGTTCGCCTTATACGTCAGTTGCGTCCCTTTCTGGATCGGGACTCCTTATGCACGGTCACTCATGCCCTCATCACCTCTCGCCTGGACTACTGCAATGCTCTCTACATGGGGCTCCCCTTGAGGAGCACCCGGAGGCTCCAGCTGGTCCAGAATGTAGCCGCGCAGGTAATTATGGGGGCGACATTGTGCTCCCATGTAACACCTCTCCTGCACGAGCTGCATTGGCTCCCAGTGGTCTTCTGGGTGCGCTTCAAGGTATTGGTTCTCATCTTTAAAGCGCTCCATGGCTTAGGGCCCGGGTATTTACGAGACCATCTTCTGCCACCGATAACCTCCCACCGGTCAATCCGCTCCCACAGAGAGGGTCTCCTCAGGTTGCCGTCGGTCAAGCGATGTTGACTGAAGACCCCCAGGGGGAGAGCCTTCTCTGTGGGGGCACCCGCCCTCTGGATCGAGCTACCCCCAGGAATACGACTGATCCCGGACCTCTGTACTTTCCGCCGAGCTTTGAAGACCTTCTTATTTCAGCAAGCCGGGCTGGCTTAAAATTTTAATGGGTTATTTTATGGGTAAAGGGTTTTAGAATTTGGGGAAGCCAAACTGATCTAATTCTGTTTTAATTTATTTTAATTTTTATATTGTATGTATTTTAATCTTGGCTGTTCATCGCCCTAAGTCCTTCGGGAGAAGGGCGGTATACAAATTTAATAAATCTAATCTAATCTAATCTAATCTAATCAAATGGAAGGAGGAGATTTCTGAACACCTTCTAGTTCAGAGTTTCTCAACCTTGGCAGTTTGAAGATGTGTGGACTTCAACTGCCAGAATTGCTGGCTGGGGAATTCTGGGAGTTGAAGTCCACACGTCTTCAAACTGTCAAGGTTGAGAAACTCTGTTCTAGTTGATTCATTGCTATTTTGTTTTTTTCTATAAAGCTTTTGGAAAGATTCGTGGGATGTGCTATGTTGGCCCATTAATAACAGTGGAGTGGGAAAAGAAAGGAGGCTGACACTTCAGTGACATATGTCTTTTTTGATTTATGAGCCACCAAAGTTTTTGTGATTGTGACATATGAATTTTCTGCTTGAACCAGGTCCTTTTCTTTGTAACTAAGCAATCTACCTTTCACTATCTCTTAAATCTGTAGAAATGTCATTATTTCTTTTTATCTGGGTAACTAAGACTCTGATTCAAAGTCTGAATTACCACTGTCAGAGTCACAAGTATTGGAGTTTAATGTAACCTCTCTAGACCTTCTGGGGCCAGGATTATTTGTATCCTGAGTAACTTCTTTTGGTCTTCTTTACCTGAGAATTATTTCTCTATCAAGAAAGTAACAACAGGAGCATTAGGAGGTATGTAGAGAACTAATGAGAAAGAGTATCTCCCCCCCCCCCATTACAACTATTCTACAAACAGGCAACTCCTTCATTGTAGTCATTGTGTGATAATATCCACAATATGTTCCAAAAATGCCAAATATGCTAACTGGTTGAAAAGGTTGCCTCCTTTTGTGTCTTTATTTCAGAATTAAGTTTCAGAGACTTCTCAATCCTGTTTTTTTATTTGCCACTTACTCCCTCTTATTTATGACTCATTTTTTTGAAATAAATAGGAAGGATTGACACAGCCTCCTTCATGTAACAGCATTTTCATAAATATCTATATAGAAGCAGCTATTTTTTCTCTCATCAGAAGAGGGAAATATATTTAGAGAATCAGAAGTTTTTCAGTTGAATAGTTTAAATATTCCATGTAAAAATTATAAAATCAGGTCTTCAACACTAAAAAGTTAATTTTTGAGTTAAGTCATTACTCTGCAGTTTGAACTACAATTTTTAGAGGGAAGAATTTTTTTCTATACATTATTAATTCAAGTTTTACAAAGCACCTAAAAACTAACAGACTAATAAATATAGCAATAAAAAAAGAAAAGGAAAAGTGCTGAAAGGAAAAAATAGTTCCTATTTCCTTTGCATCAAAATGTACATATAATTTTGTACATTTACAAAATTATTTATTTGATGATTCCAAAAATCCTTTTTTATATTATCCATTTTTTTCTTATCATCAAAACCACAAATTATAGGTGATTTTTTTTCTATTTCATAAAAAAAATCTATAAGGAGTTTTCATTCAGTCATAATTATAGGCAGTGTTTCCCTAAACAAGGGAATTGTTGACTAAATTTTGACAATTTTGACTAAATTGTTAATTTAGTCATTCCATCTTCATTAATCAGGAATGTTGAGACTTACCAACTTTTGAGCATATAATAGTATTGCTACCGTTGTTATAAAGATAATTAACAGAAATTCTGATGCCTGGCTTTTCTATATAGCTTACTAACAAACTGTATCAAAGCATTCTCTTCAAAAATAAAAATAAAAATAAAACTAGAGTAAAAATAATATCTCTTTAACCACCGAAACCTTTATGTAACAAAGAGTCTTTGCTACAAAAGGAAATATCTCTTCAGTTGTAATTGATTATTTCTTTAAGTGATTAAGAGATGGTGAGAGTAAGAATTTATAAATCCAAGCTCCTCACAGCTCAATTTATAGTCTGGCTGCAGAAACTTTTCCGTTTCTGCAGTTTAGCTAGAAAGAACTGCTGTCCAGAACTAATATGGAGCTCTAGATCTCCCTTTGATCCAGGGAGATAAAAGGCAAGCAGAAATCACTTTCCAACTGATCTTCAAAGGCTGCACCAGCTCTCCTCATTTTTGGGACTGTTATTCCACACTGGAAGCAACTCCCAAAATGCAGTCATCCTAATAGGTATAGTACTGTTCCATATAAAATATTCACCCACAACACAATCCATTTCACTGTGTCAATCCAGTGAAGATCCCCATTCCCTTTAAAGATGCATACACAACTACATGCACAGATAGCATTTTGAGCCATTAATAGAAATAGCTTATAGCTAATGGCTTATAACTTCACTCAACTATTCTTTTCTATTCAGTATAGGCGATTTTTAGAACAGACAATGGGGCCTGGGGGACATGAGGACTCCTCCAAAGCCCCCAATGGCACTTCATGCTATTTGCACATATAGTAACAATTCATAGTTGGAAGAAAAATTGCAATCTACTTACCCTTTCCAAAGTCTACCCATAGGAGTGTTGCAGAGCTGGTAGACTGGGCACTACTTTTATTCCTTGTAACTGCATTTACTAAATATAATATTTCATTGGGAAACATACTAGATATATAAAAGATATATAAAAGCATTTCAAAGCTGTTATATTCTGGATTTCTTGCTCCCATGATTCCAGTCTACTGGGGGTGTCAAAATCTTCTGAGAAGATGGAGAGTCCGCACCTGAATTTTCATTCACCTAATGGTTGCTAAATATATTATCAGTTGATCTCTTAGATTAGTAAGACACTGATAAGGTATCATCATTTGTCACATATTTACTTGCTTAGTTGGGAAAAAACTAGCCTAACAATTTTTTTATCCTTCAAGATCCAGTAAATTATTCTCTTAGCTTCAGAAACAATATGTCTTATTTTTCTTTCATTTCACTTGCTATATCTATTCTTTAACATTTACTACTCTTATACTCAAAGTCATAGCCTTCCATATCTCATGGTCCTCCCCAGACGGACCGAAAGATATTAACCTGTTAAGTTACTCATCATGGTTTCGATTTACTCATATCATCCTTGGACCCCTGAATGAAAGTTATAAATTATTCCAGATATAGAATTAAAATCATATAATAAAGGTCCCAACTAGGATACAATATCAATTTTTTGTCTCTATCTTCAATTTGTGTTAAAATAATCACCTGTGCTATTCTAATAATGAACAGATGCATAGAAATCTCTGTATGATGATCATAGTTTATTTCTCTCTGCAGCTAGCTTTGTGTTCGTCTATATGCAAAATGGGTGTATTCTTCAATTCAATTCATGAATAAATTAAATTAATTTTAATAGTTGGCATTCCCAACTATCCCCCCCCCCCCCACAACTTAATCCAAATCACTTATCTGCTTTGGAAAGCAAATCATTTCAAATATTTGATCAACTTGGCTTTAAGTTGAATTTCCAAACTGAATTTTTGTATAAATTCTTGTGTGTAATATAAGAGCTTTGTGTTACTTCTTCCTTAATGAGAAAATTTGTTGGCAACTCATATGAACTGTCTAAATAATATTCCAAATGATATTCTAAGTCTTGGCATGTTATCCTCCTTTCTACATTTTTAGACTTTTTAATTAATTCTTTGTTATTTGTTTATATCCAAACCTTTGATACTCTGAACATAGTGTCAGTACACTATTTCGTGTTTGATAATAAGTGTCCCTTCTACTTTGTATAATTAATTTGTGTTCCATCAATGTTCATTCTTTATTTTATCTTGAATTTTTCCATTTATATGATTCATTATTGATCTCTAAATTTTATTGCATAGATTTAATTAATCATAGTTTTTGTTTGCCTATGGATCTAGGGTAATTTTAGGATAAAAAGAACTAAATGCTTGATAGAGAAATAAGTATTTCCCTCGTTGGTTCTCATCACTGATTTCAGTTTACTGTATACTGAAAGGTAGATTTTCTGTGAAATTAAAATAGCAACTTTTCAAAGATGAACCTTCTCACTAATGTTAGCTTGTCTGATGATATGTTTTTAAAAAATACTGTGATGAAAGTTAAGATACTCAAACATGTGTGTTTAATTTTTAGACATTTACACGTCAATATGATTGTAATTTTAAGCATGAAGGGTCAAAATAAAACCAAATGTGATGTTATCTCATTTGATTAAATCACTTATAAACTACAGAATTTATAAATACTCACTTTCAATTAAAAACACACACTTTTACTGATTATTTATAGGCTTCATTAAGTGTATACCACAATACACTTTAATTTTCAGTGATACTTGAAACAATGATAGTTCATATTTACCTGCCATCTTTTTCTGCAGGCCCATGTTCTGTAATAGTTTTTACAAATATTCCCAGCTTCTCATGACCTGTTTCTATTCCAATTCCCATACCGATAACAGAAATGCCAAATCCTTGTTCATCTGAAAAAAAAATTGAACATGAATATTTGTAGTTCAGCGTTGAATTGTGGAGTCCCTGGTGTTCTCTGAGTTTTCATTACATTTCATTACAAAACAAGGTAACATCATCAGTGCTAGGTAAAACTTATACACATATATGGATGGTCTTTCACCTGTGAATTTTTCAAATTTACTTCACTGTTCACTTTTTACTTTAACCCTATAAATCATTTAAAATAAAATCCAATATTCTAATACACAAACCAGCAGCCAACTACCCAGATTTATATCTGTACATTGTGAGAATTGTTTCAGGAAAGTTAGCTCATTGCAAAATATACATTCATTTCATAGAAGTTCGTACAGGTATTTTTCAGTTGGTACGGGTCAACTGTACAGGTCATCTATATGACCTGTACACAAAATCAACTATATCCTTAAGACTCTTCTGCAATCTCAAAGAATCCAGTAATCGTTTGCAAGCATTGGAGAGTCTTCCTCACTTTATCTTCATTGATCTCTCTGGGAATGAATGAATGAATGGATGGATGGTTGGATGAATGAATGAGTGCCATCAAGTTAGTGTCAAAACTAATCACTATGCTGATAAGATTTTCTCTAAAATGAGCTGTCCCAATTTGATCCTTCTTCCAATGGTACACCCACTGCTGCTGTAATTGAATCCACCCATCTTGGTACTGGTTGTCCTCTGTTGTGTTTCCTTCCACTTTCTCCAGCATTATAGACTCATTTAAAAACCCTCTGGCAATATTGCCTAATACTCTTACATATACATATATTTAATAATAGGCCCACATTAGGATTGAAAGTATTTTTTACAGATCTGCAAATAATTTACAAAATTGATTTGCGGCAGAATAAATGGGACAGGAGAACTAAGTAAAAATATTCTCTTAAAAATAGAGAAAAATACAAGGTTGGCATGTATGTGTTATAAAAGAAGTGAAGAGGGAAAAGGAATGGCAAAATGGAGCACAGTAGCAAATGACTGTTACTAGGATGGCAGACAGTGTTCTGATGGCAAAAATGAAAAACCCATAAAATTATGTCTATACATTATATTATAATTATTTATAGATTCAAGGAGCAATATACAACTAATTTTTGAATCCAAATGCCAAATTTTTTTAAGGGCATATCTGAGCAGCACTTCATATATTAAACTATTCAACTCCCACCCTATGGCAATTTCAGAATATATACCTTTTTCAATGTCTATGGGGAAAATATCCAATTTTTCTACACGTTTTTCTAATTCATACTCAGCTGATGAAGATATTGGATCAATTGTTTCATTTCTCCGGTCGTATTCTATATCAGAGTATGTCTTGAAAACCTAAAAAGATATTGTAATCAGTCAGTTACATTCAAAGGCCTACACCTAAGGCCTCCCATTAAACTAGGAGAAAATGACTATTTCCATGAAGCGTTTGGAACTCATCAAAGATTAAGAGTTTCTACTATTGAAAACACCATAGCAGATCAAATGATTCCTTTTGTTAAACCCCCTCTAATGAAAATAATGATCAGTAAATCTATTTATAGGTTAAGAAGCTTCATTAATGTACCCAATATACTTATCTTGGAATTGTTTTTTCCAGTGCAGGAGGTTGGACTCCGCACCATCAATACCTTTCTCAAAAGGTCAGAGCAGGAGCAAGCCTTGTATCCAAATTAAGTAAACGTATCCAACCAACCTTCATTTTACCTCTTTGTAAAGTCTTTCAGGCTAAACTTATTCCGATCATGCTCTATGGTGCCGAAATTTGGGGTCTTACAGAGGCCCCCATATTGGAGAGAACTCAAAATAATTTGTTAAGGAGGATGCTCGGGGTAAACAATTCCACTTCAGCTGCAGCCGTCAGAGCTGAATTGGGACATTTCTCACTGTACACCTATACAATCACTAGGGCGGTAGCCTACTGGCTAAAAATGACTCAGATGGAAGCCAGCAGACTCCCCAAAATCTGCCTAGAGGAACAGCAGATTTCAAATCCTCAAAGGTATTCCTGGCTAACCCAGCTGTCAGAAATATTGAACCGATATGGCGTAGGGTTCCCGTTGTGTGACACACTGAAGCAAGTTAAACAACGGATTAAAGATATACATGGGCAAATGGACATGACAACTCTTTCAACCAATCACTTCCTTAAACTGCTGACAGCAGTTAAAACAACTTTCACCCTGGAAAAGTATTTACATTTAGAAATGCCATCAGTGGAGAGACAGTTATTTGTTAAGTTTAGATTTGAACTTTTAGATACCAACGTTAAATTCGGTCGTTACCGGAAAATCCCGTATGACAAAAGAACATGTATATGTGGGGTAAACGTCGTGGAGGACACGGCGCATATAATATTCGAATGTAGGCTGTATGAGGAAGTAAGAAAACAATATCTGTCCCCAATTATAAATAAATCTCCCCACTGGAATATAAGGCATAAATTAGCATTTCTGTTGAAGGCTGACTCTCCTCCCATGGTAAGGGCTATCACTCACTATCTTAAAAGGATGACAGCAATACGAGCCAGTTATATCGAAAAGAATTTCATTGATTGTAAGAAAGATGAGCTGAGTTAGAGAGGAGCTATCTTATTTGGGTTATCTAGTCTTGGCAACTTAGCTATTGAAATCTGATATTGTAAAATTTTAATGTCATATATCATATATTTTTAGATTGTTATTTCTGTAACTGTTTTGCCTTTTTCCCTTTTTCTTTTCTGTTTTGTTTGAAAAGGCCTTCGGGCTATTCAATAAACAAATACATTACTTACTTGCTTCATTAATGAAGCAAATCTTTCCATCCATAAGGAGTTCAAATTCTGGAAATGACAAAGTATAAAATTGCTTAACGCGTTGTAAGCTGCCCCGAGTCTCCGGAGAAGGGCGGCATATAAAAATAAAAGTAAAAATTAAAATAAATAAAATAAGTGGATTTGAGGTAGAAAGGCATGGAAGTTCCAAGTGACACCCAGGAGTAAGTCAGACTTTCATTATTGTTACCCCTTCAAAGTAGGCCAAGTTAGGAATCAGATACCACAATGCTGAAATTCTGGTACTCAAGAGGCTTTCCTAAGAAATAGAAAGTGTACTCAGATTAAGCATCCAACAATTGTAATAGCATTTAAATAGAAAATATATTTATTTTAACAGCATAACTGTTAAAATAATTACAATTTTCTCTTTTATTTGAATTAATTTGACAGTTGTTTGAGTATAAATTAAGTGTTTTAGTTGCATAACAGGATGAAGAATATAATGCCATTTTATTCTATTAAATTTTATTGTGCACTGATTTTTGACCACAATAAAGATTTCTTCATTTAATCATAGCAAGACCATACTTCTCCTGCAAGAAATAAAATTCTTGTATTTTGTTTAATAGAAGTAATAAAAGGAAAAGAAGCTGGTGTTTTAAAATTTTTAATGAAATCAACATAACTGATTAAAGTGTTAATTTTATTGCATGCATCCAACAACAAAAAAATAAGATTATATTTTCCTTCTGCAAAATTGATCAGTTTGCTGAAAAAAGTTTGTTTCATCTACTTGCTAACTGGGACTCAGGTTGAAAAAATGCTTTAAATATTAATTATACTTTTCAAAAATAGATCAACACACTGAAATGTTATCATGTAAACTATTACTTTAATTTCTTAATCAATTGTATACTTGTTAACTTGACACACATCTTAGTCATTTAAAGTAAATATTGGAAATCATCAGCTAGTATGTAAAGTTTAAGAAGATAGGAGGGAGAAAATCCTGCCTTTGGCAAGTCTTGTTGTCAAGGAAACAGATGAGTATGCTGTACCATTTTATGGTTATTTCCAAAACAGCATCAACATGATCCTGAAAAGGAGGAAGATTAGGACAATCTTGCTTTAAATGCAGGAGATTTTAGCTTGAATTGACTTTGGGTTTGGTCTTTCATTTATTTGGAATAACAAAACAATGATTGCACACAAACAATTTTTTCTGGATTTGTTCCCAAAGTTACCAGATTTATAGTGCAGTCCTATATATACAAAATTTAAGATCCTCAGAATCAATACATCCTTTTTCTAGGTAAGGTACAAAAAGCAAGTGGTTACTGATTACATCTTTACATTTTGGATGTTTAGAAATCCATTTCAATCCAATCAGGACCTATCTTTGGCATGAAAGGTCTTTTACCAAGAAGGGAAAGAGTGGAGAACTCTATTCATTTTCTTTGATCTCTTGCCAACTCTCAAGAGCTTTCTGAACTCTCAGCTTAATGATCATATATAGGAAGTACAAAGTAGTATTTCCTATAAGGAATAACTGCTCCCAAGACCTGTGGGCAATGGTTACTTTCTACTAAATGTTTCTTGCTTTAGTTCCAGAAGATTGTGAACAGGAAGCCAGTAGAGTACACCCTAGCCAAATTAGCAATCATCCAATTTGTCTTTTCTCTCTTCTACACCTCCCCCAAATCACATACAGCAAATTCTCTTGTCTGTTTACTAACCTTTTCCATGCCTTGATAATAGACAACCAACTTTCTCTCTCATATCTACTGGCCAGGACTCTAGCTTGGTTTTTCAAGGTAACAAAAGCATTTTATATTACAGCAAGTCTACTCCATTCGAATGCATAAATAAGTTAGTAAGGTTAGGTGAGAATGTGACTCACCCCAACCTCCCTAGGGGAAGAGTGGAAGGCACTGAATTATTCTCCAATACTATCTATATTTTAACTATGAATATAACAACCTTTTTCATTGTATTACATGTAATTTAATGTTTGCTGTTTATGTGGTAGTAGCAGATAACAATTTAAAAATCAATTTAAACAAAGTGCGACAATATGTAGGCCCGAACTGATCTTCAGAAGCATGATTAGACCAATTCTCTTTAAGCTAATAAATATTTATACTGACTTGAAACAAAAGCATTTTTGTCTACCTACATAAAGGGCAAACGATTCAGCATCCAGCAAGGACTGTATTTTTCCAGCAATTTCTCAAATTCAGTTAAAACAAAAGATTGTGAACTTCTATGAACTTTCACAAATTTCTATCTAATGCTATTTTTACATACATGTGCAAATTTACATGTGGCTAGATGGTCATGTGACTGGGTGGGCTTAGCTAACTTGATTTCACTCAAGTCAAGGGGTACCTAGCCGGCCTCTCATAGCCCCTCCCCTCCCAGCCACTCCTCGCCTGCCCACCTGGGCTCCTTAGGGCCCCAACAGGAAGCAGTTGTTGGAGCTAAGCAGCCACAGAAAGAGTTGGCAAAACAGCTGGCTCAGTTCAAATTGGATCTGATCAAGGAGGCTCAGCAGAAGCAGAGGAGTGCTAGGCCAGATACTGGCGCCTAGAGGCTCAGCGGGCTGAGATGGTCAGCCAGTTCCAGGCCATGATACAGTCCCACTGGAACAAGGCCCTCTGGCTTTTCTCCACCAGCGGCACTTCCCCCAGCCTTCCCACAAAGCCCCGTACCAGGAGGCTGAAGCAGACCCCAAGTTGGAATTTCTGCCCCCTTCTGCCTCGCATAAAAAGACCTCAAAGGGGGAGACTCTCTGCAGTAACACAAGCATTCATTGCACATATCTGGTCCAGGAGCCATAATTTAAGGACCCCTGATTAACCGTTTCCCCCAAAATAAGACAACCCCTGATAATAGGTCCAATCAAACTTTTGAGTTCATGGCAATAAAGCCAAGCAGTTATTTCTTATAATATAAGGCAGGGTCTTATTTTTGGGGAAACAGAGTAGTGCAATATAAAAAGTAAATAATTTTTCTGTGGACCACCAAAATTTTCTCATGGACCACCAATGGTCCACGGACCACCAGTTGGTGCCAGCTGATCTAAATTACATCTTATTAAACATTTTTGAAGTACAGGTAGTCCTCGACTTACAAACACAATCGAGCCCAAAATTTCTGTTGCTAAGTGAAGCATTTTTATGAGTTGTGTCTCATTTTATGACTTTTGTCATTTTTAAGCGAATCACTACAGTTGTTAAGTGTATCATTGATCATTAGGTTAATCTGGATTGCCCCATTGACTTTGCTTTTGCCTGGGAAGGTTACAAGTGATGATCACATGACACCAGGAGAGTGCATCTGTCATAAATACATGCCAGTTGCCAAGTGTCACTATTTTTCAGCGCTGATGTACCTTTGAACTGTTCACTAAATGAATGGTTATAAATTGAGGACTATTCTATGCACAGTTCTAAAAATAATAATAATGTATGCATCTGAACTTGCATAAAGAATGTTCAAAACCTAGCAATTTCAATTCAGTATCCCCAATAAAGAAAAATGATACTTTCTGGATGCTTATTAAAACATTTGCAAGCTT